TCAAGGACCCACCAGTGGAACTGTGTGGATCCCAGAGAGAGGAGAAAGGGCCCTCCACCTGGTGGGTGCCAGTCACATTAGGAATGAAATCCAAACAGAAAACCCAGGATCTAGACAGCTATTAGTAGACAAAGGCCAGATCCCTTTCTCGCCTTAGAGGAAGAAGTTAATGAACTCTCATTCCAAAGCAAGTACACTCAGCTACTAAGGCCTGCACGAGCTGGTCGAAAGCAAATGAGCTCTTTTGTTGTGGTTAGTGTTCCTCATTGTGCACAGCCTGGTTAGTAGGGGTGCTAGCAGATCCCTCAGACCTAACCCTGACTCAGGAGGTGTGCTGGAGCAAAATCACCCAGGCACACATCTGCACGACAGAATGGCTGAGTGCCAGGTACTGGCAGGCCCTGTTGGAAGGGCTACAGCCAGCTGGCCACCAGGAGTAGTATTCTGACCCAACACTCACTTCCTCTGCAATAAATGGTACCAATGGTAGTGATGCTTAAACGAGTCACTCCTTTCTTATCCCGTGTCTCAAATTACATACCAGTCAGAATGGCCCTCCCAATATAGCCAACTCACATTCATCTAACTCCCAGGTTTGTGCCCTAATGAATTCACTATAGCTTTAATGGGGTGATCTCTGGATCCTAAAGCTGCTATCCACAAAATGTCCCTACAAGTAGCCTATCGGTGTGCCCAGAGTCTATGTTGTTGACGGAGTCTCCACAAAGCTCACTGATGGATATCACACGCTCTTTTGCAAGGTGCTCCCCTGAGGATGCAATGGAGCTTAGATCTGCTCAGCCAGTTGTAGAGCCCATCCTTGTAGGTCCATCTCGAGCCAGCCTCTAGCATCTACATTCAGAACTTAACACCAGCCAGCCACCTCTGACCTTCATGGATCTCCTCCTGGAAAAACCACCCTTCCCCGGCTGGCCATCACCCCCAAGCACACCAGTACCTCAGATGACATGGCCCCAACCCACGAGCTCACCATTGGAGATGACTGTACGTCAGATGGTGACACCACACCCATGGGAAAGGCGAAGAAGGCAATGTGCCCCCGACCTCGCTGGACATGGAAGCTGGACATTGGGACTCCCTATCCCAGATGACCTCCACACCAGGAGGGAAATGAATGTGGCGATTGTTAACCTCGGGACTGAGTTGCAAAAATGCCTCCAGATAATTGACCCTGAAAATCCCATAGCATATTGTTTTTCTGAAATAGCTAACTGGTTTCTACCAAAACTAAACTGTGACTAAGTCTCCTTGCCAGCATTAAGCATCATTTCACCTTTATGGCAAGCCAAACACTGTATTCTAACCTCACCAGCCACAATAAAGCATTTCTTTGCAACACCCCTAGCTTGACCTGCTTAGCTCCATGGTTTGGGGCGTCTTGCTGCTGTGTTCACTGCTCACTGTATGAGGTTACAGGTTTTGTTTTCCACCCAAAGCACCTGTGACAGACCCTGCTCTTCCAGTTATTTCCACGACAGCTACAGCACCTGCTGCTCCACACCAGAAATTGCCACATCTACTCCTCTCCACACCTCCTCCATTAGCTCCTCCCCCTCATATGCCACGACCCTGCCCCACAGCACAACTCTGGGGGCCAGATCTGACATGACATACAAACCTCCAAGACAGGATCTGTTACCACCCAGGTCAGACCTAAAGCCCCTGTCACTACCTACCCCACAGTTCTTCCTGGGGTTCAGCTCCCTGTGCTAATTTCCTCCAAAACACCACAAACCTTACTTGGGCTAAACCAAATGGCTAATCTAGACCCCCAAACAGGGTGCCCTGTGAGTAAGCATCAAAAAAATTAACTCCCACAGTGGTATTTTCTGAAGGTCACCAACTACACTGGAACATGAAAGGCTGGACCTCACCACGTGCACATACTTCCTGCCCCATAATGATACACCACGTCTCATTCAAGCTTTGTTGTGGCTCTGACTCAAGGAGCCAGAAGTCCACATGGTGCTGCCCAGTCTGCAAGCTATCCAGGGAGGTGACCCCCCTTACTGCCATGGTCACCTTCAATATTCCAGCTACCTTTATCCTCCCTCCCGGCACCTGTCCACTAGAAATGCCCTGCCCTTACACCAAAAGAGCCACTCTTATCTCTGTCCTGTGGGGACTGGCTCTGACCACTGACACAGCAGTCTAGGAACAGGGGTTTCTGCCCTAGGCCAACAAGACCAGATGTTAAAAACTACACAGCGATTATCAGCCACCCTAATCAAACCCATGTAAACACTACAGCATGCTTCATGTCTGATGTAGCAATAGTGTATGACTCAGTAACACAAACGAAGGTGGATAATGGACTGACATGAGACTTCCTACTGGCTGAACAGGGTGGAATCTGTTCTTTACAGAGCACTTCCTGCTGCCTGTACATTATTAACACTCAAGACAGGCACAGGCCGACCTCCTTGACACAAGATGGGTCCAGTTTACAGGTCATGCATCACAGAGCTGAAATATTTCAACAAATTCCCACACTCCTCGAGGTCCCTGATTTGTTCCATGGCTCTCATCACCCACCTACAAATAATGGCCAAGAAATGGATCTCAAACAGTAGTGTTTGTCATAGGCTTCATTATTATTGCCTTGGTTAAATGTGTTTTTGGTTTATAGTAGCTTCAGAAAACAACACCTACGCCCTTTAAGATATCTGCTACACAAGTGGCTGCTATTCCTGACCTTGATGTACCACAGGATGGATTGCTGAGAGCTTAGCTAAGCTACTCCTTGGTATTGCTCCTTGGCATTCATCTTGTTTGGCCAAGTGACCTGCTTTAAACTGACACTAGCTCCTCATGCAGGTGCATGTCCTATATAACAGCCCAGAGTCAAATGCAAACGCAAGTTCCTGATATGACTCCTCCAACAGCCTTTGTGATAAGCAGTTTCCCTTGACTCCCAGGGTCTTATCCCACTTCACATAAAAGACCCATTCCCCACCCCACCAGCTTACCAGAACCCTGCTCTTAACAAGCTATCCCCCTTGACTCTCTGGAGCACGCTGGCGCCTTTCCCTGTCCCCTCTTCTTCCCACCCGGTGCATTACCTTTGCCATTCTCTCTCCTCAGCTCCAAGGGCCCTTCTTCTGCTTCTGTAACTTGTTTCCTGAGCCAATGCAGCTTAGCTGGCTCACTTCTACTACTGCTGTAACTTTCTAAATAAAGTTTCTCTTATAATTTGAAAAAAAAAAAAGCCTGCTCTTTTGTTTGAATTGACCCATCCAGCCTCAGGTTGGGAACCCCAAAGCACTCTACCCTTGAACCCTAATAAAGGCATGTGCCCAAGGTCTTGTCACTCTGTCTGCCTGTACCCTTCCTTGACCTCTTTCCATGGCCCTTGAGGAGTCGCACTATGGATTTCTCCGGGTCCTGCAAGTGTTAAACTTCTCTATCTCAATTTCTCTTGTGGTCTTTTACATAACTGCAAGGCACCCCAGGGCTCTATTGAACAAATGTTAATTTAACAAAACCATAACAAAATTTGTGCACAGCAAAGGAAACCAACAAAAATAAATGGTACTCTATAGAATAGGAGGAAACATTTGCAGACCATGTTATCTGATAAAAGGTTAATATCCAGAATATACAGTAGTCCCCCCTTATCTACGATTTTGTTTTCTGAAGTTTGTTACCTGTGGTCAACCATGGCTCAAAAACATTAAGTGGAAAACTCCAGAAATAAAACAGTTCCTAAGTTCTAAATTGCTTTTCAATATGAGTAGCGCGATGAAATCTGGTGCTGTCCTGCTCCATCCCTCGTGGGACCTGAATCATCCCTCTGTCCAGGGGATCCACACTGTACCTGCCCATTAGTCACTTGGTAGCTGCTTCAGTTACCAGATCCACTCTGGTGGTATCCCAGTGCTTGTGTTCAAGTAACCTTTATGTTACTCAATGATGCTACACCTACACATAACTTTTATGACAGTACAGTTTATGACAGTTATAATTGTTCCATTTCATTATTAGCTATTGTTCTTAGTCTTTTGCTGTGCCTAATTTATAAAACAAATTTTATCAGAGGTTATGTATAGAAGAAATAGTATATAAAGGGTTTGGTACTCTCTATGGTTTCAGGCATCCACTGGAGATCTTAGAATATATCCAATGAAGAGAAAGGAGGACTACTTTACAAGAAACTCAAGCAAGGCTCTGGCTCCACAGCTCAGTTGGTTAAATCATTTTCTGGATGTGCTAGGGTTGCGGGTTCCACCCTGGGTCAAGGCACACACAGGAATCGACCAATGAATGCACAAATAAGTGGAACAACAAATTCATGTTTCTCTCTCTCTAAATTAATAACTTTTAAAGAAACTATTGTGAGAAAAATACTTTATGAGGAAATTAATCTCAAAAATTGCAAAATACAAATAAAGCTCAGTCACCTAAGAAATTATTACCACAATTGGGAACCAAGTAGATACCTTTGGAAGGTCTTGGCCACGAAGCTATAAGGAAATATCTAAATCAAAAAAGAGCAGTAGGGAACTACTAAGCATTACTAAAAAATAAAATTGATACAGTCGTCTTTGGGAGGAGGGACTGGAGGCAGAGAGGAGTAAGGCAATAATGAACTGAGACTTTTCATCATAACCCCATCCGTTCAGGCCTTACTTTGATCGCACTCAAAGCACAAAATTTGAAGAAAATAGTGGTGAATCCATCCCAAAGTAAAAGCCTATTAACTATGTGTATATGTTCTCAGTTTTTCCTGTTATCAGAATCCACTTGGAAAATGTATAAAGGAACTAAGATCAACATAAGCTCATCCCGTGACTGAAGATCTCCAAAATGACTGACTCATTAAATAAGATAAAGTTGGGAGGTCAACGCTGGGAATTAGGTTCCGACGCGCGGAGATTCGGAATACAAGCCAACCAGCACGCGAGCCTGAAACTGCAACAAAGCCTCGAGGGAGGCGGGGATAGTGGCGTCACTGAGAAGCCCCGCCCCCTTACGCTGCGCACTCGGGGGTCCAGAAGGTTTCAGGCGGCGCCGGCGCCATCTTGCAGGAGCCTGCGACCGAGTGGGAGTCGAGTGGAGCGGCCATAGTTGCCGACTCTTTTCTTCTCCCCACGGTCCGGTCTGCGGGTTGGTTAGGTCATCGGCCCTCAAGGCGAGACTTGTCTCTTATTTAGTTCTGGGGAGCGCCTGGCCGACATGAGTGATGTAGAGGAGAACAACTTCGAGGGCAGAGTGAGTACAAAGCCGCGGGAGCCGTCTTCGGCGGCGGCCCGATGCTCGGGGTTTCACCGGGGAGAGCGCGGTGGGGCAGGGTTGCGGGAGTCGTGCGGGGGTCCGCGGGGAGCAGCCTCTGGAGCCATCGCCGTTGTTCCCTCATCCCAAGATGGCTTCTGGGTTCCACTCCTGCCCCAAACACCACGGGTAACCCCTCTCCCCCTTTTTTGGAGACTGATACCTGGACTCCTGGGTCCGATTTCCCCCTGCAGTGCGCCCTCCCTTCTCGCCACCCCTGAGGCTTCCTTATCTCTGTTGCGAGGTGTGGGTCCCCGTCGCGGTGAGGCGGGAGGAGGCGGCAGGGAATTCCCCTCCGGCCGGATAGTGGTAGGTGCTTCCTGCGGTGGCCTTTCTAGCGACCTCGAGCATCGTGGAGGGTCTCGGGGTCGAAAGTGCGCGGGGCTGACGTCCGGGCGGGGAGAAGCTGGCGTGGGACTAGCTGCGGCCTGTGTCTCCTTGGCTCTTTATTGCAGTGAGCGGCCGCGTCTCTGTTGGAACCGGCGGCGTTGCGTCTATAAAGGCGAAAGCCTTGAGGTTGAAGGTGGGACGAGCCCAATGAAGTGGTTAGTCAACGACCGCAGCGACCCTTAAGCGTTCTTAAGACGAGAGCTGTGAGGGGAAAACTACGCAAGGAGCCCTTTCCCCCTTAATGTCCCTTCTTCTTTCATTTCAAAAACTGTGGGAATGCTATAACGCCTTATTTTTCTGATTCCTTGATGTTGGGGTGTTTTTTTTTTCCCCCTCTTCGTTGTATCTTAACTTCTAATACTTTTCTTCCTGTGGCCTTTCATCTAAAACCTGACTCCTCCTTTACAGGTTTCTACGGTAAAAACAAAAAAAAAAAAAAAAAGGAAAGGGGTGGGGGAATCTTCTGGCTTAGTCTTATATAACTGAACATATTTCATGGCTCAGTATTTTAAAAATAGCTAGTCGGTTTATACTTTGCTCTAGCGCAAAACGTTAGCTGAGAATTACAGGCCCTCTCATTTCTCAACCGACAAAGGGCTCAGAGGTTTTCATTATTTGGGATCGATGAATATAAACCCCTGGGATACGCTAGAACAGTTACCAGTGTTGGAGTTACATTTCCGAAGTTACCCTCGTAGTGGAAATTGGTGGGAGTGCGTGAGTGTGAAACCCCGAAAACAATGCCCAGTCAACTTGTTCCGTCTGCTGTGTTGGTATTTTAGTCACTAGGAAACGGGTAAAAAACACTTGAGGTGTGTGCTGGATGGAATGCATGTTGCCTGTTTCAGAAGCTCCATTTAAACACCTGGACCCAGACAGTGAAATCAGGAGGTCGGTTTAGGCTTTTGTTCTTTTTAAGGAAAGAGATTTAAATAGATTCTAAACAAAAAGGCTACTTTTAATGGGTTTTAAAAAATATAATCTGGAGCATAGATATAAATGAGTGGTTGAACTTGCTCATTTTTTTTAGGATAGGGTATTTCTTGTCCATCAAAACTTTTAAAATTATGTAATAATATTTGGTGGTAGTTGTAAAAGCTGTGGTAATTTAAAAAAGCTGCTTTTTGTTTTGAAAATATTAGGTAGTTATGGAAAGAAACTGCTGCCCATTAATCTTTCCTTTGATTAAGTGTAAAACAAAAAATTATTTTTGTTGATGTCTTTTAGTTTGGTTTGTGGGGAAGTGAAGTGGACTTACCGTTTTGGACCTTGTCTCCCTTCTTAAGTTCATATTTTTCAATTAGCCATCTAGTTGAGGAAGGAAGCAAGTTTAAGATGTTATCACTTTACCTAATATGTAATAATATATGTAAGATTTCCACCCAATTGTAAGCTAAAATGTACGTAAGCATTGATTTATTTCAATAGAAAAGGGTTTTTACCTCCCACCCCATTATTGTGTTTATGGTCACAGAAAATACTTTTTCACGCGTGATACCAGAAGTGTATTTTAGCGTGAATAAACTCAGATTGAATGAATACATCCATGCTCACCCACTCATTACTTGTGTGTAGGTTGAAGTAATTGTTTTATATTTAATTGGTTAAAGAATTAGAAGAATGCCAGAAGCTTTTCCGACTGTTTACTTTTTCTTTCTTAAATTTTTTCTTAAAGCAGTTAACTAGTGCTTTTGGTTTTTAAAGTAAAGTGATTTTTTTTTAATCTGCTAACCACAAACCAGAAATTTAAAAAACAATTTATAGAATACAATTGTTGTGTTCTTATCTTTGTATCTAAATTTAGAATGGCTCAAAAATAATTTAAAGGTGTTTAAGTAGTTATACTTCTTTTTAACTAAAATTAGAGAAATCTGACAGGTCAGTATTCAGATTTCATTTGCTTTATCTACAGAATAAACACACATTTAACCCCATCTTACTGAAAAGATTTTTAGAATTAGAGGGCAACTTCTAGAGACTGCAGAACACATTAAAGAAACGGCTAATATTAAGACTTTGTATTTTATAGACTTTTAGAATCTATGCCCTTCTCCCCCAAAACTTGGACATACTTTCTAACTTACTTCTTGCACTAATTTTTCAAGGGCTTATTACCATTTTAGAAATTAAAAACTGTGGCCCAGAAGACCATGTAGCCAGGAATCTGAGATGTACAAGTCCCAGTCATTTGCTCATGGGATGTAACACTGTGTTGTATATATTTTGATTTTTTTTTTTAAGAGTACACTGTACTTCATTGTCTCTGAGTCATTAATGGATTTTACTAAACACAGTTTACAGGAGCTTAATTTTCCATTATAGATTAATGTCTCTTCCATTTTAAAAGGCTGCAGAGTAAAAAAAAAAAAAACTTTAGGAAAGAAAATATAATAGACCCAATTTAGTTATAAGTAACCCTAACTAAGTCTTAACCGGCCAGAATTCACCTGAGGTCAAACTGGTGAGCATCTGCCGCCTTTTTACCAAAAAAGCCAGATGTTCTTCAAGGAAAAAGAACTTAAGATCTTATTTGAGGTGACAGCTCAAATCTGGGTGAAGTTAATATACATATAATCAAGTGCTGTGTGATAGAATAAAGGATTCCAGAAACAGCTGAGGAATTCTGTGCACTACAGGAAGGGGGAAAGCTTTATGTAGTGTGTGAAAGTTACTTTGGATTTTATGATTGGGGAAATGAATGTTGATTGTATGGGTGTGGCAGTGAGTAGGTTGCTAGAATAGTGAGAGGCGATAGATTTGATAATGGAGGGTCTTGTAGATAATTGTAGATTTACAAATTTGCGGTATGGAGCCATCTATGGATTCTTAATTCTAGGAGTGGCATAATGAAAGGGATTTTAGCACAAACAGAGAGACTGGTACAGGAAGAGCAGTGGGGCTGCTCTTAAATATTTGAAATATTTAAGGAAGGAAATTATGAAAAATCTGGTCTGAACAGGACATCAGTGGGATATTAAGAATGAATGAAGCATTTTTATGGGCTCTGGGGGAATAATAGTTCATTAAAATAAATGAGTTCATTAAAGCAATTTGCTTGGGATGTGTATGTCCAGTTTACAGAAATATTTTAAGTGAAAATATCTTTTGGAGCTTGGGGTTAGATTGGCACTTGAACTATGACTACGTTTCATCTTCATAAAGAAAGTGAGTTGTTTGCTTCACACAGCTTCGACTAAAATTAGGGTTTAGGTGTGAAAAAATTGTAGTGTCCTTTAGAGAAGTTAAGGAGGATTGAAATTAAGCTTTTCTTATCATTTCACTTTATTCCCCTCCTCCCTTAGTTATTTTAATGAAACTTAGAAAAATAGAGTCTGATTTTTTTGCTCATGCAGTGGGGCTCAGTGTTTTTAATGGAAGTTATTGATTCTTTATTGTGTAGGGGTCTATTTTATAATTCCATGATTGTCTATGCTTCGAAATACAATTTAAGAGGGAAAATACTACTTATTCTCGCCCCCTTTTTAGAACTTATTTCTACTTTTTTAAGAAACTCAAGCGTTCCCCTTAATATATGCAGTTGTTGACTGGATGATAAAAATGAAGAGCAAAACAAAAATTCACCTGTACCAATTTGGAATTGAAATTTGTATGTAGATATTTTGTCGAACAATAGAAATAGACTTATTGAATTCCTATTTTACAGGTAAAAATGTCAGCACTGTAGCTTTTTAAAAAAACTTAATTCAGCTTCTTCAGCAATTTAATTTCCCTCTCATCATGTCAACCTATTAAAAAGGATAAGGCTTCCTTTCACATAGTAGGAGTTGCACAATATTAAATTTGAGACAGTCCTACTTGTCTTGGGTTTAATTTATCTTCCTAAAGTTAAGTACTGTCATTATCCAGTTTTAATGCTTTTTTTTTTGTTCCCGCTATCATTTAAAGAATTTGTAAAGTTAAGGAAACATTTTAATGCTTAAATTTTTACATTTGAGATTCTTTCACTGAAGGGTACTAATTTGCTCAATACAAGTAGAAAGCAGGATTTTTAAAAGGAGCAATGCAACTAATTGAGCAGTGCATAACTAATTTTACGGATTTGTCATAACTGCTGCTTATGATTTGTATCATTTCTAAAACATAATAAAACTGTCTTGGGATCTGAAAAAAATATCAAGAAATTGAAATATTTAGGATTGAGCTCCATTAAAAAATACAAATAAATTTTATGGGCTTGGTTTTGTAAATGAACATAGGGTATATTTACCCTGTTTATCTAGGGTATAGGAAGTGTGAAATGGGCATGAGTAATCAGCATAATAGTTTACTAGAACTTAACAGACAGTGTGAAAACTCTTGGTAGTATCACTGGGTGCTTTGGCATCAAATAACTAAATCTGGAAGCTTTGTAATTAAAGCTGATACTTGTTCATATGTCCTAATAGATTTAGCAAGACAGAAGTGGAGGTGAGAAAACAATAAAGATCCAATGGGGAAAAGAATCAGTAAAATCTGTAAAAGAAAGTTGAGGGTAATAATGAAAATAAATGTGGTTCCCCTCCTTCCTTTAAGTTAACTGCCATGAATAGTTGTGTATAGGCCTTATTTCATGATTTCACAAAGGTCTGAGTGACTAGGCCTAACCCATCTGAGGTAGAAAAGTTGGGATTTGTCCTTGAAACTAAGGACCTGTAGTCTTTCAAGATTCATAAATATTTCATGATTTTAGAAGATGAGAACATAAGTAGAGAATTCTCAGACAGGTTCTTACATTAGTAGTTTACTTTTAGTTGCTATTTATTGGCTTTTATTAACCCTAAAGCTTATTAGTTCTTACAAATTTGTTTTCTATACTTTTCCTTTGAAATTGTCACTTATACACTAACTTTTTGGATAGAACAATTGATTGTGGCATATAAGCTGGCAGGTTTATGAGCCACATTTAAAATCTGTACAAAAGATTACAAATTTTACAAGTGATTTCACAGTTGTGGCATGAACTTGATTATGTATGTGTAAATGCCAATTTTTGCTAAGCATTCCCAAAATTATTCCAAACTTATAGACACATAATAGTGTTAGCATATCTGTGAGCCTTTGCAGATACAAAGACCGCTTTAACCTCACTCAGATTGCTTCATGCAGGTATGACCTTAAAGAAAGGGAAATCATTTAAAGACGATTGATTATGTGAGCAATTGGTATTTTCTTTTTAAAGAATTGCTCTAGTAGCAGTTAGGGGTTAAGAATTGAGAGTGGGATTATTTCTTTTTATAAGCCTGTGAGTTTGTAAAAGAAGCCCCGTAACACTCTAGAGGAAGGAGGCAGAACTGCTATTTCTGTAGACTGAAATTAAATAATTGAGTGAACACAGGTTTCTCATACATCCTAACGAGTGAAGTTCTTGGTACAATAAATATAAATTACTTGGGTAATCTAAATACCCCCCACCCTAACGTACAATTTACTTAAATGCACTAGTGTATTTCTATGGAAGTAGGTATCTAATATCATAAAGTAGTGGGAAAATGTATTTTGAGGAAGTTTGTTTTAAAAATCTCATGTTCTATTCATATATACTTGAGTTTGTGTAAGCTTGGCACTATTCTTGGCATAGAATTTGCCTTGCTATAATAGTAGGACAGGTTACGGTGTAACATTTACATTGATTTATGTGTTTATTTTAATGGGCTTTTAATTACTAAGCATATATAGTTGGAATTTTTTTCCCACCTATAATACAGTTGCTTTTTTTTTTTTTTTAGTGCAATTGTTGCTTTCTGTAGCAGTTATTGGTGTTCTGCAACAATGGCCATATATCGAATAACCCTTTTTTCTGATTAAAAGCATAGTTTGCTGGGGTTGTTTTCAGTGTGTAAAATACAGCCGCATTTTAATAGAAATCAAAGATCCTTAGACTACTTTATTGAATACCCTTAACTTTCTTAATATTTATGGTTAGCTCCCTCCTTTTATTTTTGGCTGTGTCCTTTAGCTACCACCAGGGGTACCTTGATGGTAAAGAATAATTAGAAGAACAAACATTGTTTAAGCAGGTTGTGCAGTGAGAACTTTGTGCCTGGCTTTTGATTTAGAGTGGTTATGGTAGAATGGAAGCATATTTAAAATTTATTTGTGACATGATGTGGTTACCAGTCAAAGGTAGAAGAGGATACTCTAGCATTTGTCCACAGAGGGGTTATTGTAGCCTGGTTTCTAATGCACAGTACAGTGGAAATGGCATTTATTTGGTACCAGCTTTTGAGAAACAAGTTGCTTAAAAATGGCAAATTTTAATGTGACCATTTTTCTGTGTGTGAAGACTGTTTATTAACTACTAGTTCTTATGACAGGCCTTTTTTGGTATGATAGGAAAAATAATTCTGAAGAATTAAAGGTTTATTTTAGGCTTCATTCTTTTTTATTTTATTTTTTTATTTTATCTTATTTTTATGTAGTTTACTCCTTTTGTTCATTTTTTTCTTTATAGTTTATTCTCTAGGCTAAGTTTACTGATGGTTATTTATTTATCTTTTTAGTCTCAAGTCTCAGTGGTTTTGCGAGATAAAACTGATAATGACAACTTTGAAACTAGGAGTTAAGAGAATTAAGATGACTGTTTCTTAACCTTGAATTACTGTATGAAGAAATTTATGCAGCCCCTGTTGGTGTAGCTCAGTGGATTGAGTGTGGGCCTGTGAACCAAAGGGTTGCCAGTTTAATTCCCAGTCGGAGCACTTGCCTTGGTTGTGGGCTAGGTCCCCAGTAGGGGGCACATGAGAGGCAACCACGTGGGGATGCCTGCCCCTCTCCCTCCCTCCCTCCCTCCCTCCCTCCCTCCCTCCCTCCCTCTCTCTCTCTCTCTCATTCTCCCTCCCTTCCTCTCTCTAAAAATAAGTAAATAAAATATAAAAAAAGAGCGAGAAATTTATGCAGATTTAGGTTCCCTGATTAAAAAATAAATTGAAGTGTAGGCAATAAAGATTAGGTTTTGTAACACCTTGGATAATTATAAAAGCAAGCCTTCTTTTAAAATACGCTGATGTCTTTTGAAAAGATATTGTTATGTCTTAATGCTTTGTTAACAAATAAAGGGAAAATTGCATTTTTCCAATAAGTTGCTATGCCAGAGCTGGGATTTAAAATTTAAGATATTGATTACTTTGTTTGCACATTAGCTTCTAAGAAAAGGCAATGTTCAGTACTACTGAATAATTTTTAACTGTTAGTCACGCTTATAAGGGAAGATTTGAAAATCAAACCTACGCATATATTTGGACCATAAATTTTTAGCCTATAGTAGGAAGTTTCACATAAACGTTTAAGAATAAATTAGGGATTTGGCGGTAAGATTTGATTTCTGTCCTAGTAAATTTAAGGTTTTACAGCGTCACAGAGCACAAAGCCTTCTGATACGTGTGTATAATAAGGGCTGTGGTGATGTTCATAGAGGGTATTCCATCTATTATCAGCATAGTTAGTGAAGCAGCCTATGAGACTGCAGTTACAAGCAAATTAGCTGTACCCTTTGTTAAAGTACTGAATATGCTGCTTTTACGGTTTTTCAGTGAGTCTGAAAGGCCTAAATTGCTGTTTCTGTTCCAAGGATCTGTCCAGAGTGTGTGAGATGTAGTGGAGAACTTACGCAGGTGGCTAAATGGGAAAGATTAATATTGAACAGGAAAGGTATATATTTCAGTTGTGTTTTCATCTGAAAAAATAAATATGCTTAGCGGCATCGGTACAGTTCTTGACATTAAACAAAATGCAAGGGAAAGTTTAAAGGAAGTTATATGGTAGGTAGGTTTATGGTATAAATGAAAATTGGTGTGAAACTGGGATAATATTTACACTGATAAGCAAGGCTTAAATGGACAGAGAAACCAGCTGTCCCACTTTGGTCATAAGTGCCTCATGTATCTGTCACATTAAAAAAACAGGCTTTTAATCAGTTTTAAATTAATGGATTTAGAAAGTTTTTTATATACATATATTCAGCTTTTTCAGGAGCCAGGCAGTTTACTGGTATAGGATATAGTCACTAAAGGGAGTACAAATATGCATAACTGCATAAATCTGCAAAAATGGGACAAAAAGAGGTGGGATCAAAAAGAAAGACCCTGGTATTAATTTTGTGATAACTTCTCATGCATTATGATAATTCATGGATAATACAGAGTTTTAAAATGACACAGTTGCAAAAATACATTATATTAGGAATTGATAAGCTGGGGAGAAATTTTAAGAATTTTATACTTTCCCCTTGCTTTGCTTCAGAACATATCTTCCTGGTTAAGTCAGTAAGTAAAGATAGTGGTCAAACAAAATTGGGAGATGTTATCTCTTTGAGCCTCAGTATGTTAGAGTTTGGATAGGTGTTATACAGATGCTGCAGGCTAGGATGCTTTGCTTTAATTATATTTTGATACCTTAGCATGGCTTAGTGAAAGCTTATTTTAAGATCACTAAGACGTTTTCAGGATATAAATTAGTGAAAATGTAAAACATGGGTGGGAGGTTACAGTTCAAGTTAGATTTATGCTTGAATTAAGTATTTATATTAAAATTGTTCACATTTTAGGAACTAGGGTGAACCATGAAAGGGGAGGAGGGTGAAGAGTATGGTAAAAAAATTTAGAAAAATTAGTGAATTCTCTCTAATTTTTAGAAACTAGACTTTTGAACAATTTTAAAGATTATAAAATTTTTTGTTTGTTTTTTTTTAATAAACTAGTTATTTGCACTTTACCTGCTGGCTTTTCCATTTGGTAGATAACATTCTGAACTCCAGCAGAGTTTTATAATCCCCACGTGCTTAAATATACTAAATGTTCTTTTTCCATTAAGGTTAATGTTCGTGAAGAAATTGAAGAGTTTTTTCCAAGAATGTGGAAGATAAATCAAGATAAAAGAAGGCTAATGAAAAGTATTAAAGATCAGAAAAATAAAATTGAATGGGGGAAAAAATTGAACAGAAGATTGGTCAGATAGAAGCACTTGAATATTTTTTTAAGGCTATTTTGAATTGTTTGAATTGGGGAAGAATACACGAAGTATGAAAAATGAAAAACTCAATGAAGAATGAAGAGAAGTAGAAAGCAAGAGTGAAGTAGAATTAAAAGAATCTGGAAGAATGAATGGGTCCTAGGTTAAGTAAATGTATGGTTTATGTTCCAGTGTCTGTATGATCAAGTTGTAGATGAATTTGCATGATTACTTAGTTAATAGAGAATTGGTGATCTGGTTCAAGTAGGGAATTTTAGAGGACAGTTAGCAGTATTAACAATGGGTTATTAATGAGCTGAAATTTTTTTCTGGAGGGTGTTGCCTAACCATTTGTTTTCCAGGAGCAATCAATATAAATAATTACGGTATTTTAAATGTTAGGTGTTAGGCATCTACATGACCAGTGCCATTTGTAATACTGTCTTCTTTGTTAGGAGTCTCGCTCTCAGTCAAAATCTCCAACGGGAACTCCTGCTCGAGTAAAATCGGAGAGCAGGTCAGGATCTCGTAGTCCATCAAGGGTTTCCAAACATTCTGAATCCCATTCTCGATCAAGATCAAAATCCAGGTATGTGTGTTTAAAGTAATACTTAAAAAAATGCTTTCCTTGGATTTTTCAGAGCAAAGTGGTTTTTTGCCATATCTCAGTTTTGCAGCATTTTGTATAGAAATTTCACAAAAGACTCCAATCACGTAGTTTTCTCAAACTGTTCACATAGAGTTTAGAAATGAGTAGTATATTCGAGATAAACACGTAAATAAGGTAGAATTATCTCTAGCTCAATCTATCACATATTCACTGGCTATTAAAACAAATTAAATGTCAGCTGATTTACATGTCCTTGTTATTTGAGGATTCGTGTTTGATTTTACTTCAATAATATTTGCACAACAAAAAAGGTAATTTTGTCCACTGAAGAGTTGGCATGTAATGTAGTGCAGAGAATTTGATGTATATATGTTCTGTTGGTTATCAAAATTATTTGAGAAGGTTTTTCACAGTTCACATTCCAACTACATTCTTTACCTGAATATTTTGACTTAGGTTCAGGGTGGAACTCTGCTCAGATGTAATTGGGAGAGTGGGCAGAGGATCCCTGGGTGACTGAGAGCCCCTGCCACCACCAGCTCAACATGTTAATACTCCATTGGCAACTTCAGGGTTCACTATATTGGATGTCCCAGGTGGGCTGGTTGGGGGGAACAGCCTATAGTTAGTTTGATAAATCATTGTAATTTCTTGGTTAGAGTCCATTTATATTTTTGAATAGGGTCTACTTGCAGGGAGGCATGAGACAGAATTAGTTAAAAGACTACTTTCATCGAGGTCTACAGCTATGCCTTTATCTCTGTTATATCCAGCCCAGTCCTTGATTTACTAGCCACTCTAAATCTCCATGTGCAGAATAGCACTGAATGGAATTTGGCTGTAGAAACAGAAATGAGCATATTTCCGTTTAAGAACCTTAGCATTTACTGGCTTCAGCCTAGAATCCTTTCCCCTTAGATAATCTCTTATCCCTTGATTCCGTTTTCTGCTCATGTGTTACCTGAAAAATTAAATAGCAGAAACTTTCTATTCCCTTAAATTGAGGCTATAAATTAATGCTAAAGAAAATGTAAAATATCCTCTTTGGCATTCTTGCACAAACACAAGTTTTCTTCATACATACCACATCCCACCCCTCAAATGATTAATTTCTTTTAGATAGTAGGCTGCTCATTTTATTTTCTTCCTATTAAAAAGCCTTTGTTGCCCTGGCTGGTGTGGCTCAGTGGTTTGAGTGCAGCCCTATGAACCAAAAGGTCACCGGTTCAATTCCCGGCCAGGACACATGGCTAGGTTGCAGGCCAGGTACCCATTTGCAGGGGTGGGTGTGTGAGGGGCAACCAATCAATGTTTCTCACATACGGATGTTTCGCTCCCTCACTTAACTTCTTCCCTTCCTCCTTTCTCTAAAAAATAAATAAAATCTTTATTTAAAAAAGAAGCCTTTGTTTGCTGTATCGATAAATCTATGCTCTCAGCTTGATATTCAAGCATTTATATGATGTTGTCTCAATCCTTTCCTAATCTTCACTCTCCTTAATACCTTGCAGATTGTACTGTTCTGCAGTTCTCTGATCATGTGTCCACGTCTTCTTGTCAAGGAACCTTTGCTCTTGATATCCCTAGGACACCTTTCCCCATCTACCTGATAAAGTCTGTTAAGTGCCCTGGCTTTATTGTTAGCCTTCTTGGTTTTGAACAATCTTGCCTCTTTAGTTTTATTCCTATACCCACGTGCCCTCTTTTTAAACTTTCCGGCCCTTGGTATTTATAACATTTATTGAACGCCTTATAGAAGTTATTTTGTGTGACTGTCATCACTACTGGTCTGGGTGTTTAGTAAAGGATGGGTCATGTAAATAGTAGAAATTGCTGCATTGATAGACAAAGGAGGAGGACTGTGAGAGTGACTGGAAATAATCAGACAGGAGATGAACTAGGAGGAATCAGCAATGGAGAGATGGGTGAGATGCTGTAGAAAGCTTGATGAAAAGTATTAGATTAGAAGGGCATTTTAGGTTGATGAACTAATGTAGTAGATGGTGGGTTACAGGAGGCTAAAGAAAGATTGGAAAGGAAATGGTACTTAACAATGAAGGGAATATAGTGTTATATTGAGAAGGTAATAAGTGATTCAATGAAATGATTTTAACGTTTTGTATATTTTTATGGTAAAATGCACGTAAAAACCTTAACCATTTAAAAATATACAACTCAGTGGTATTATATACATTTCACATTGTTGTGCAACCATCACCATTATCCATCCTGATAACTCTTCATCTCTTGTAAAACTGAAACTATACCCATTAGACAACATTTGCCATTCTCCCCTTCACCCATCCCGGGGCAACAGCCATTTTACTTTGTCTTCATGATTTTGACTACTAAATACCTCATGTGAGCGGAATCATACAGCATTTGTTTCTTTGTGACTGACTGACTGCACTTAGCGCAGTGCCCTCAAGTTTCATCTGTTGAATATTGCAGAATTTCCTTCCTAGTGGTAGTTGGGTTTTGTTTTGTTTTGTTTTGTTTTGTTTTGTTTTGTTTTGAAGAAAGTAGGGCCTTAACATGCTTGTAAGGCAAAAAGAGTGGATGTGGAAGGGACAGGCTAAGAACAGGAGAGTGTAGTGATGAAGGGAACAAGAGGAAGACTGCCCCTCTCCAAAAGGGGCTGAGAGTAGGCAGGGGTTATCTGTATAGGTCCCTGGCATTAGCCGTTTGTTTCAGTATCACCTAAACTTTTTCTCTCAAAGGTCGAGGTCAAGGAGGCATTCTCATAGACGTTACACTCGATCCAGATCCCATTCTCACTCTCACAGGAGGCGGTCTCGGAGTAGGTCGTACACACCAGAGTACCGACGTCGAAGGAGCCGAAGTCACTCTCCAATGTCTAACCGGAGAAGACACACAGGCAGCAGGGTATGTGGTTTTTAAAAGTTAATGAAAACTTTTCTTTCATTTGTGTTTTGCCTTACAGCATATCTTGCTTTGTGAGAACAAGACCATTGTTTAAAAAGTGGTACTCAAAAATCATCATTGAGGGTGTGGATGTTATTTGGTATACATTTAAGTGTATTTCCTTTTCTTGACTTTTGAGTAGTTAAAAGACATGAACTTTGGGGAGAAATGTTTTGTTCCAGGGATTAAAATGAAAAGCATAAACTGAGTTAAGAATATTGAGACAAAAGGCTTTGACGGAGTAGACAGCAGGTAAATACTGTAGAAATAGCTCACACTCATAGTATGAGCACTGGGCAAAGTTCTTCAACACAGGTTAGCATATTATGGATAATGAAATGGAGTGTGTGTGTGTGTATGAGAAGATTTTATTTATTTTTAGAGAGGAAGGAAGGGAGGCAGAAAGGGAAATATCAAACTGTGTCCTCTTGCACGCCCCCAACTGGCAACCTAGTCCAAAACCCAGGCGTGTGAACTTCGACCTTTCAGGTTGCAGGATGATATTCAACCCACTGAGCTACACCAGTCAGGGCAAGGAAATTGAGTTTTGACATTGAGGTTTGTTTTTTGGCTAGATGGCAGAGCCCAGGTTTCAGTCAGACCCTTGATTCTAATGTTCCTGTGCTTAATTTAACTATTATGCTGCGCTTCTCCGTGTAGATGCCGCACCTCTGAACTCTGGTGGGATCTGCTTAGGAATGAAAATGGGGGCGGGGGTTCTACTCAGCAGTTGCAGATGAAGTCAGATTAAGTACACATCTATAAAGGATAGAAAACATTTGAATAAACTAGAAATAGGCATTAAACTGAGGGTGTATTCTTAGTATACATTCTGAACATTATTAGAATAGAAAGTAAGGTTGTTCCCTGTCCTGGTCCCCCCAAAAATCCTTCTTTCTTCCTTTCTTTTTTTTAAAGATTTTATTTATTTTTTTCTCAGAGGGGAAGGGAGGGAGAAAAAGAGGGAAAGGACATCAATGTGTGAGAGCTATATCGATGGGTTGCCACTCATATGCCTCCAACTGGGGACCCAGCCTACAATCCAGGCATGTGCCTTGACTGGGAATCAAACTGGCAACCTTCTGGTTCATAGGCCAGCGCTCACTCCACTGAGCCACACTAGCCAAGGCACTTTCTCTTTTTCTTCTTTCATTTTATTTGTTTATTTTTAGAGAAAGGGGAAGGGAGGGAGGGAGGGAGAGCAAGCCTGACCTATATAGCTAGCTCAGTTGGGCGTCATCTTACATAGCAAAGGGTTACCATTTCTTTTCCAGCCAGGGCACAAGCCTGGGTTAGGGGCCAGGTCCCCTGTTGGGGGTATGCGAGAGGCAACCAATGGATGTTTCTCTCTCTCCCTTCCCATCTCTATAAAAATAAATAAATGAAATCTTTTTTTTTTTTTAATCCTTGTTTTTTAAAAAAGAGAGTCCTAACTGGTGTGGCTCGGTGAGTTGGGCATTAACCCGCAAACCAAATGTCTCCAGTATAGTTCCGGTTTGGGGCACATGCCTGGGTTGCAGGCCAGTTCCCCTGTGGGGAGTGTGCCAGAAGCAACCAATCCATGTTTCTCTCCCTCTATTTCTCCCTCCCTTCCCCTCTCTTTAAAAATAAATAAAATCTTTAAAACCAGACTCAGTTTCCTTACCCATAAATAAATACGATTTTGTATATCATTAATAAATGAGAAAGAGAGGTAAGGAGAGAAACATCGCAGTGAGAGAAAAACCATCGATTGGACCTGGAATTGAACTGGTGACCTCTTGCTTTGAGGGATGGCACCCAGCCAACAGAGCCGCACCAGCCAGGACAGTGAGAGTAGAGTTGTTTTTGTACAGGCTACAACCTGAAGTATAGAGACATAACTCATCTGTTTTCTTCCCCTCTCTTAAATTGTTTCCAAGTTACTTGAAACAGTATGGTCTTTGGGTATTGGGTGAGGTGTTTTAGGCAATATATATCTGTGTTTTAATATTTATTTTAATTTGGAGCTTAAAATTAATTGACGTCTTTCTTTATTCAACAGGCAAATCCAGATCCCAACACTTGTCTTGGAGTGTTTGGCCTCAGTTTGTACACAACAGAGAGGGATCTTCGTGAAGTGTTTTCTCGATATGGACCATTGAGTGGTGTCAATGTGGTTTATGATCAGCGAACTGGACGATCACGAGGATTTGCTTTTGTGTATTTTGAGAGAATAGATGACTCAAAAGAGGTAGTTTTGTTTTTACAGTTGTCACTGAACATTTTCTGGTGTGCATGATCATAGTATTGAGTTGCTATTAAAAGTTGATTAATAGACTCCCAGTTCTGTACACATTATGTCCTCTTTCATTCTTGATCTGATTCAAACTCTGTGTCTTAGTGTTAAAATTAGAGTGGCCAGTTTCACGTTCCAGGTAATACTTCTATAGGGGTATCGTTATTGAAATCTGGCCTTGTAAAGTGAGATGTATGTTTGGGTTAATGGAAAAAGTGAAGTGTGTGTTTCTTTTGATTAAGCTTTATTTATACTCCAAGCAGGTGATTCGTTGACTTTTTAGAATTACAGTGTTTTAAGTTGAATCTGTTTAATTTTATGTCTAATTTGCTACCCATGTGCACATACAGAGCTTTGTTTTTCTGTTCTCTTAATATTCATCTATCATTCTGTTCTATAACCACAAAATAATAGATGAGTTGGTACTCTTAAATTTTTGTTTGATGCTATTCTTTTATTGATTGGTTGATTGACTGATTGATTAAATTTACAGAGGGACACAGAGAAACATAAAATTTGTTGTTTCACTTAACTTATTCATTGGTTGATGCTTTTATGTGCCCTGCCTGGGGATCAAACCCAAAACATTGGTGTATCAGGATGATGCTCTAACCAACTGAGCTACCCAGCCAGGGCCTTTTTGGTGCCCTTCTTAATTTGTCAACAGAATGGTTTGAAATAGTGCCAGTGTAATGTAATAGGTATTGGATTGTAAAGGAACCAGTAGACTTGCTTTCTCTTTACTAAAAGTTTAGTGATTGAGTTAGAAAACTCCACTCTAAGGAATTTGAAGCTCATTGTTAAGGTGTTATCAGACCTTAATAAATCACAGATATTAGCATTTTTTTATGCCATTTTACTTGTGACAGTAGCTGGATATATGTTACTGTTGCCCTATGCATCAACAGTGCTTGATTGCAACATAAGCAGTCTTAATAAGTCTTAATAAGCAGTCTTTTAAAAATAATAGAGGCTATTTGCATGTGTGGGTGGACACCAGGGATGACACTAAACATCCTTCAGTACACAGGATAGCCATCCTCAGCATAGAACTAGCAGTCCCGAAGTGTCCTCAATGCTGAGGTTGAGACCTGACGAAGTCTTAACAAAACAATGCTGCAGGTTGTAAGTCCTTTATGCAACAGGCATTCTGATGTTTTGCCAGTATTGATCATGCATTCATTTTTGCTGTTGCATAGTGTGTACCCCCCGTATCTGCAGGGGATACGTTCCAGGACTGCCCACCCCCCACCCCACCCTCCTGGATACCTGAAACTGGATAGAACCAAACTTTTCACTGAAGCACTTTTTACAGCTTTTCTTTGGCATTTCTGAATTGCCAGCATTGCTGTCCTTGTGCTTTGGGGCCACATAGGAATGACTTTAACACAAGCACTGAGATACTGTGACAGTTGAGACAACCAGGACATCTACTAAGTGGCCAGTGGGGGTGGGGAGAAGTAGCTTATACAGTGTGGATATGCTGGACAGGGATGATTTACATCCTGGGAGGGACAGCACACAATTTAATTTAAAACTTGTGAATTATTTATTTCTGGAATTTTCCATTTTGTCTGCTGGTTGACTGGACAACTGAAACTGCAGGGAAGGGGTGCAGGACTACTATATTTGTCTCTTGTTTATTCCTGATCTCAATTAAGGGAGAGAGGTGTAATTTAAAAATACCAAGATACCTGACCTGAAGTTAATGTTGAAACATGTGAACAGTATCACAATTTTTTAAAATATGAAATTTGTTCATCTTGTCTCTTGATTCTTCTTCTCCCAGGTTTGTGTCTGGATAACACAAAATGAAAATAGCCACTTAGTTCCAAAGAACTTCATGCAAATTTGTTAAAGTGGTTGAATTATTGCATTTATTGGTATTAGTCTCAAAAGTCAAAGTGATAGGCACTGTAAATGCAGGTACAAAGACAGGAGTACTTAACTGGCAGGTTTAGAGGTTCCTTTGTATGTGCAGTCCACTGGGTGGCAGTGTGTTCCTAAGGCCTGGCTTGACCAGTTTAGACTCGTCAGTTTCTGCTTTGGGTTGCCCAGACACTGGCATGTGTATAACAAGGAGGGTTAATATGTAAAATCCTGCCTCGTGTTTGAAAGAGAAGTGTTTAGAGAACTTTAATTTATTACAGTTTTGGTAGTGTCTCCTGGGGGAATTATGCGTGATTTTCTGTGCCTCTCTCCTTTAAGGCTATGGAAAGGGCAAATGGAATGGAGCTGGACGGTAGAAGAATTCGTGTGGATTACTCTATCACCAAGAGAGCACACACACCTACACCAGGCATCTACATGGGCAGACCAACTCAGTAAGATTTCAAGTTTCCTAAGCTAAACCGCTATAACCTGAAGTCTACCAGAAATGTCTACAGAATTTTGATTAGTTAAAGGATAAAATTTTTTGTATAATTAAAATGGAAATGTACTTAATTTGTATACAGTCTTTGAATCATTTATTTCTTTATTTTTGAATTTATATACAGTTGACCCTTAAACAGCATGGGGATTAGGGGGACCAACTCCTTTGTAGTCAAAAATCCAATTAAGCTTTTGACCCCCCCCCCAAAACTTAGTATACCACCAGGAAGGGATTGGTTCTAAGACCTCCACAAATACCAGAATTTGTGGATCTCAGTTCCCTGTGTAAAATGGCGTAGGTCGATGCATGCAGTTGACCCTCAGCATATACAGACTCCCGAACATTGAAAACAGTATAGTGTTTATTGTGGGAGTGGGAATCTGCAGATTAATAGAACCCAATACAGCCCTGGCTGGTGTGGCTCAGATGGTTGGAGTGTCTTCTCATAAACCACAAGGTAAGCAGGTTCGATTCCCAGTCAGGACACATACCAAGGTGCAGGTTCTTTCCTGCTGAGTGCACGTGAGAGAGCTAACCAATCTATGTTTCCCCCTCTTCCCCTTCTCTCTGAAATTGGTGAGCATGCCCTCAGGTGAGGATTGAAAAATAATAAATGTATGGTTCAAGGTTCAGCTGCGCGCGTGTGTGTGTGTGTGTGTGAGCATATATGTATGAGGAGGATATATATATATATATATATATATATATATATATATATATATATATATTAAAACTATTGAAGTGCATTTCTGGCCCTTGATACTACAGAAATAGAAAATTACTAGATACTAGAAAAATACATGCTTTTAAGAAAGTATTTCTATTTTTATATGATCTGGGAAGTCTCTGTATATTGGGAAGGGTTTTACTGATATTAGTGTTTATTTAAAAGTGGGGGGGCAACTTTTATATTGTGTATAATACAGATGGGGGCTTTTAAAATTCTTGATGTTTTTTAAATTGCTTTGAATTCGTCTTTTTAAGATTTCATTTATTCATTTTTATTAATTTATTCATTTTAGGGAGGGGGGAAAGGAGAGAGAGACATCAATGTGTGGTTGCCTCTCACCCACCCCTTACTGGGGACCTGCCTGCAGCCCAGGCATGCATGCATCCTGACTGGGAATCAAACCACAGCACTCATTTCACGGAGCCATACCAGCCAGACCTGAATTAGTCTTGATGACACACGTTTTAGCAGTTTGGTGTTTTTTCCCAGCACAGTTCATTTCACCTTGTTGAGAACGTCCTGCTGACTTAGGTAGTGCATTAATAGAACAGCAGTTTATAGTTTGGAGAGTTGTGTGAAATCTTTTTTGGTTGTTTATGTAATGACTAGGAAGCCAAAGCAGAATACCATTGATGGCAGCAAACTTAAGCCATGGAGGTAATTGACGTGTAAGGGTTTATTTTTTTCTCTGTTATCTCACCTCCTTCCTCCATTTTACTTTATTTAAGTACCATTTAGTATTAAATAATACTAGAAAATAATAGTTTACATTGATGTGGAATTTTTTCTTTTTTCTGTAGTAGTGGCGGCGGAGGAGGCGGAGGCGGTGGTGGAGGCGGCGGAGGTGGCAGACGTCGAGATTCTTACTATGATAGAGGATATGAGCGTGGCTATGACAGATATGAAGACTATGATTACCGGTACAGGTAATGTTTTAACTTGTGATTTCTGTTCTAAATTAGATGGTGGTAGTAATACTTGGCACTTTTGATTTATGTTTGATATGTATTAATAAAAATGTTTGAAAGATTATTATATGATGCTTTCTTTAAAAAATAGAAAAAAATGATTTTTCTCAAGACTGAAGACAGAGGTTCATTATCTGTATTTGCCAATATTTCGTTGTGCCACAACGAAATACTGTTTTAGTATCTTTGGCACATAGAGAATGTAATAGTTATCATCTTTAGATACTTACTATTTTAGTATCATTGGCACATAGAGAATGTAATAGTTATCATCTTGGTTTGTTCCCCCCGCCCCCCAACATTATTTATTGGGGAACGGACAGTTGTGTTTTTTTTTTTTATCTATTTATTTTTTAAGATATCATTTATATATCTTTAGAAACAAGAGAAAGGGGGGAGAGAAACATTATTGTGTGAAACATACATCAGTTCATTTCCTCTAACTGGGGATCTGACCTGCAACCTAGACATGTGCCCTGACTGGGATAACCTTTGGGTTCATGTGCACTCAGTCCACTGAGCCACACCAGCCAGGGCAGGTTCATTATTATTTTGAACGATGGGGAATTTTTATTTTCATCTGCCTCTGTGGATTATGAGTGTGCTAAGTAATTGTTTGTTTCCTACAGAAGAAGATCGCCTTCTCCTTACTATAGTCGCTACAGATCACGATCGAGATCTCGTTCCTACAGCCCAAGTATGTATTGTGCTTTTGTAGTGCTAAGAACCTCATTTCTAATTAATGGTTGACTTTAGAATATTAGGATATATGGTGACTGGTAATAGTTGGAAAAATAATAGGCTAGTCAAACTGATCGTCAATTTGATTTTTTTCCCCCCTCTCGTTTCAGGACGCTACTGATACAGAGAATGGTTGCAGTTAAGGATTTCTTTTTCTTTTTCTTTTTTTGTTTAATTCTGGATTTCCCTGCGCTAACCCTTCCTACTTCTTGAAAAGAACCCTTAAAAAATCTTTGGTTTATTTAGCATCTACACTTTGTCAATTGTATTGCTGTTTTCCACCCCTTTTATTATACTCTTAAAGATGTGATTGTTGTCATTTTGAGTAGTTAAACATCTTGAGTAAAAAAGGAACCCCTAGTGTTACGCTTTGTAAATGATTTTTTTTTTAAGGTTGCTTTTTTAGAAAATTAACTCCAAGCTAATCAAAAGAGGAAAGAAATTATCTTTTTAAAGCTTCTTTTGTGTCAGATACTGTATTCGACACTGTATTAGAAATCTGCATTTACAACGAACTCCTTTTTCAACTTCCTTTTGGGGAAGATAGTGAGTAACACAAAAGTAGTGCGGTCCCATCCAGTTTGTCCAGGGGGGCATGGAGCAGTCAGATAGTTGCGTGTAGAAAGTTTGAAGCTGTAAAAGGAAACACTTGGTCATTTCTTTTCAGAAATGGAAAATTTGAAACTTAAAAATACATTGTTTCTTTAGAGATGGAAAACTTGTGTACTTCTTCTATAAAATGTATTTAAAATACATCTGTTAAAAAGTTAACAAAGTGTGATTTTTGTGTTGAATTTATTGAAGTTTAAGTATTCTTTTAATCAGTGAAGGATAGCCCGTATTATTTATTACTTAGAGCAGTTGTACACTTTGCTGTTAGAAATTTTGGTCATTGGAACGTTGGTCCAGCAGGCTCTTCTCGTATAGCATGGAGTCCTTAGGGGATGTGTGTGGGGAAAGTAGTCTCCTTTCAAATAAAAGTTAGTTTCTTTGAAAATGGGACTGTCTCTTTATTGTGTTACAAGGGGGGAAATACAACTGGATTGATTTGGGAACCATTCCTTCCTTTTTCCTAACATTTTTTGCTTATACCTAAATGTAATCCTTGTCTCTTACTCAGTCTTTAAAAATCTTTGTTTTATTCACCTTTTTTGTTAACCAGGTTATAAATATTGAAAGTATTCAGTATCAAGCACCGTGCCGAAGGAAAGACATTATGGTTCATGTCTTCAAAAAGCCCACATTCTAGTCAGACATACACTTAAACGACTGTGCTGTGACATTAAGGGGAGAGTGCTTTAGCCAAGCGGTGGCTGGTGTTTCAGGTGTTTGTGAAAAGGTAAAGGAGCAGGAGCCCCTTTGTTTTCTCCCTCAAAGCAGATGTAAATTAGATTATTATAATCTGTGTAGTAGGGGATCTATGGGATTGAAGTGCCTCAGACATCTGAATTGAAAAGCTGACTTTTTAAAATGTCTTCTAAAAAAGTTAGCCAGTCCTGGCTGGCGTAGTTCAGTGGATTGAGCGTGAGCTGCGAACCAAAGCATCACAGGTTCGATTCCCAGTCAGGGTACATGCCTGGGTTGCAGGCCATGACCCTCAGCGACCCCACATTGATCTTTGTCTTTCTCCCTCCCTTCCCTCTCTAAAAAATAAAATAAAATCTTTTTTAAAAAAAAGTTTGCCAGTAAAGGCTATTCATAGAACAAAGCAGTTTCTTGTTGGTCCCTGGAGGGTTTTTAGTCTTAAGCCCATTGTTAAAACACTAGGATTCATTGCCCTAAAGAGAACATTAATGTGTTGACTATGGGTATACTTTAAAATTTAAGCAGTGTATCAAGAAAAAGAAGTAGCAGCCACAATTTGGAAGTAGCCATATGAAGAGACCATAAACATACAAAGATGTGTTATATACATGCTGATGGAGAAAAAGCAGGCAAGGAGAAATAAGAGGATTCGAGTTTAAATAGGGTAGTCTTTGAAGTCTTCCCTGAGTAGGTGAAATTTGAGTAAAATCTGAAAATTGAAAGGGAGCCTCGTAGATATCTGGAAGAAGAGTATGTTAAGTGTAAGGAACAGCAAATGTAATGGCCTTATAAGACAGAAGGATACCTGGAATGTTGGAGAAGACAATGATAACCTTAAGAGCTGGGCCTTGCTAGGGAGGGGAAGAGGTTGGGAAGTGTGGTTTCATCCGTGGAGGTGAGTTCTTCTATAGAGAGGGGGCTGCTGTCAGAAGTGGGTGGAATGTCACGGATATATGGATGTGTATTAGGCTTAGAAACTACATGTGCCACATTACATGGATGTACAACATAGAAATAAAAATGGGGTACTTCTGGGCCTCTTCTGTTACCGGTATTGTTAAAGTGAAAATGAAATTTTTTCAGCTCATTGAAGAAAAACTTGTTTCTAACTCCTTGCAACAGTGGTTCCTACTTAATGTTTTTTGGATCATGGAGCCCTTAAAAGTCTGGGGCGGAATTCAGTCTGTCTTCCTAGGAAAAGTACACATATAAAACAATGTGTATATATAGGTATTTGGTTTTTTAATTACTTTTTATGTAGAATAAAATCTACAAGAATATGCACCAGGTTTGGTTTTTTTTTTTTTTAAGATTTTATTTACTTATTTTTAGAAAGGGAAGGGAGGGAGAGAGAGAGAGAGAAACATCAATGTGCGGTTGCTGGGGGTTATGGCCTGCAACCCAGGCATGTACCCTGGCTGGGAATCGAACCTGGGACACTTTGGTTCGCAGCCCACGCTCAATCCACTGAGCTATGCCAGCCAGGGTGCACCAGTTTTCTAATAGTGGTTTATTACCCTGTGAAGTAGTAGTCTTGAGAGGGCCTTGGGGAAAAGAGAACAATTTTACATACAAGTTCAAGAACATTATGTACACCTCTGCGGGTAAAAGCTCCTGTTACAGACATTGACCATGGATTTAAGATGTACAGTTTCCCCTGGCTGCCTGGTCTTTAGGGTGTCACTTAGAACGTTTGAATTTCTTAGCTCCTTAATATATATTGCTTCATTATGGGAATTAAGTCTTATTTGTAATGTAAAATAAAGGTTTATTCAAAATATTCCCACCCTGTTGCCAAACTTAATTCTTTAGGTTTATGAGTTTTCTTTTTCCCACCTAATAGATCGTAATTAAGTGGATTGAATGGTCAAAATCAGTGCCTTTTTGTATTATATAAAATATACATGAAAAAGTTCAGAGAAACATCAATGGGGAGTAATGAATATAGAAAACAAGAAAAGCCCAAGTGACTTTCAAGAAAGTCACTAGTAACACAACCCAAATGGCCCTGGCAAGTGTGGCTCAGTGGAGTGCCAACCTGCAAACCAAAGGATGGCCGGTTGGATTCCCAGTTGGGGCACATGCCTGGGTTGCAGGCCAGGTCCTCAGTAGAGAGCGTTTGAGAGGCAGCCACACACTGATGTTTCTCTCCCTCTTTGTCCCACCCTTTATCCAATAATAAATAAAAACATATTTTTAAAACAAGTAACATGCAAGTGGAATACCAGGTTTTGTCCACTTAAGCTCCCACCAACAATTTATGAAAAGGAGGTCTTGAAGAAAAGGGGGTTCAGATTTTACTGAAGGAAAATAAGCTAGGCTCTGTGGTGTTTACACCACAAAAATATTTCAAAATGAAATTGAGGTTAACAGTTCTCAAGACAATATAGCGAGATAAAACCAATGGAACTGAGGGCTGTGGGAGACTACAGGGTAGTACAAAAAGATAACATACATACTTCAGCATTCTGTTTGATTCTGCCCTACACTTAATTTGTGATTGACCCCCAAAAAAGTCTAACCAGTAGGGAAACCCTGTGTGGTGTTCAGAGGTTAAAAAGAAAGCAGTTGCTTAACTCAAACCAGTCATGAGTCTTCACCCTGATACTGTGATGTGTATCTAGTTATGTATCTGATGGTAATATAATCCAGGAGGTTTTCATGGCATAATTTTCAAACTTTTACAAATACTACATTTTCGTATGTGTACATTTGAGAGACTACTTCATGCAAAGAATGTAATACGCTTTAATTATGAGTTGGGGGTAAAATTTTAAAATTGACCAAAAAAAAAAGCTATCAGAGAGGGCCTAAATAGACTCCTCTCCCTTCAGAGATGAGATTAACACATGGGTAATTGAGGCCCCACAGTTTTAGCAAAGTGTGGCTTTCATCACTTCAATTTGGAAAAGTTTAATAAAGTACTGAAAAGGAGAATGGGGAGTTAGTGTGTGATGTGTGCAGTTTCAGCTGGACCATATAAACAAGCTGGGTGGGGGGATGGTTGCACAACAGTGAATGTGCTTAATGTCATAGATCGGTGCACTTAAACATGATAACTTATGTCTAGTTTAGCATGCACACACAAGAACATAAAGCAAAAAAAAAAAAGTTCCCTAAAATGAAGATCCACACATATCTAACTTGGTACTGTTTCTTGCTGTTGTATTCTGCAATTTGAACCTTGCAAAGTGCTAGGTAACTGATGAGTTCATTGCCCACTTTGCAGATGCGTCACCGGTGCCTAGGGCAGATCCTGGTAGGGAGTGAATAAAAACCCATTGAACACTTGCATAAATGAAGAATGAATGAATGAGGACAGTAATGTGGGGAAATGATTGGTAGAGCCCATTAACTTAAACTCCCAATCAGAGAGTTCCATCAAGTTAAAGATCTGAAGTGTAAAAGGAATACAAGTCTAGGCTGAAAATACATTCAATCATGATGCTAATTAAAAGGATTAAGAATCGCTTAAATCTGTTAAGGAAGAGAAATGGCAATTAAACATAATTACAAACGTATTGGTGCCTGAGTCACCTTTTAAATTCATTTGTATGGAACAGATCTTCAATATCAGGTAAGTTGTATTTGATATTCATAAAATCAAGTGTAGAGAAGTCAAATGGGAAATGTTCTTTTTTTTTTAAACAAGGGACATGAATTTTATTTTCAAGTACTGTACATTAAAAATTCTTTTCACTAACCTCTTTGTACAGATATACACATTTATAATTGAACTTTTGATACAATTACAATTTTTATGGTTTGTATGCTCTGCTTTCTCAGGGTTATTTGGGGTTTACACTTCTTGAAATACCATAAATGTAATAAGTGCAAGACTCAAAGAAAACTTAGAAACATTTGTTGTCTGGTATACATGGATTCTGAATCCACTTATGTACAGTGCTGAGTGGGAACGCTGAATACCATAAACACTCCATATCCCCAATTTATATATATATGTGTAATGGAGTTCCAGTTGGAACGCTACTCTACACCCATCAAGGTGTTGTCTTCAATTCCAGTAAACGTTCAGACTTAGAAAATTACATTAGTCCACGTTTGGCATCATACTCACTTAGAAAAAACAGGATGGGAAGCAGCATGCAGTACCAGCTACTCCTCAGGAGTCCTTGGAGCAGTGCACACAGCAGTGCGAAGTAGGTTCAAGGTGATGAAATCCACATTACCCAAGTGCAGGAGCCACCTGGCCTGAAGAAAGTTATGCATCATTACTCAACAGCTCCATAGGCATGGCTTCCAGAGCTCGTGGAAGACAACTAGTTATGACTGCAGTTGGAGCCTTCTAAGTACGGTGTCCCCATCAACTAGTTTCTTCCAGCCCAGAGGCAATTCACCAATCAAATCATTTTTACCATAAGCAAATGTGGCAGTTGACACACTGTCATTATCAGGGTGCCAGGGAAACAAATTTAATGAGGTCAAATTCTCATGCAGAAGGGGGGAAGGTTTTGTTAACCACTTAAAATAACCCCTACAAGATGGTGCTGGAGAATGAATGAGATTGTTCCAAAGAGCACGTGGAACAATGTACATAGGAATGCATAAACAGGAAGAATTCAGAATAGGCCCAAGTACACAAGAACACTTACATGATAAACATGACATTTCATTTTGGTAGGAAAAGGGCAGATCAAAAGATGGTATATTTAACTATTTAAAAGAAAATAA